GTCACAATTCCTCTTTCCTCTTATCCTCACAGTCCAGTTCTTCACTAGGTTCCCTTTTCTATTTTCAATTCCAAGCCTCTGAGCTCAGTGAGCATTTGGAGCTGGCTCAGGCTGGAACTAACAGCAACTGTCCAACTAACAGCAACAGTAACAAGACATTTGATGCTCTCTTCATCCAGCCCTTGTGAAATTTGACTTACTTTTTCTACTCAGGGTTTTATGTGGTCAGAACTGATGCAGTGTGTCTGCCTTAAGTGTTATTGCTGAAATAACCACCAGTCCTGACTCAAACAAAATCTCTGCCCTAAAATGATGTAAAACATGGCAGGGGAGGAAAGATAGGGTATGAGTCTTGAGAGAAAAGTTCACCAGTAGTGTTTCCAGCAGTGGGGCTGTAGATGATGTAAAATTTACTTGCTGTAAAAGGATGCCTGCGATCATGTTTTGTTTCTGTGCATCTGATCTAGTGAACTAAGACTTGCCATGTTACTGCTTCAGTCTTGGGCACTAACAGCGTGCACTAGCCCTGGAAGTTGCAACTTTAAATAATTTATAGCAAGGAGAGGAGATCAAGATGGCACATTTCTAGAGGACTTGGATTGCATCCTGGAGCTGACTGCTGATGCATATTGGTAACCTGTGTGAGCTGCTCCGAGTTCAGTACCAGAGGCATTCCTCATACTCAAGTACTTGAAGATACTTGTTAGTATTGTGAAATGAATCAAATGTTTTCTGTACCAAGTAAGATCATTCTCTTTTTTTCCCCCCATGGTCTTTGTTTTTCATGCCCTCAGCAGGAATTTTCTTAAGGAAAAACCAGGCATTTATACTGCTGTCCTTTCTCTGCCCACTTAAACAGAGTTTTGTTTATCCTATATTTGGACCAGTATATCAAAACAACTCTCAGATACAGGGTTTCTGTCATGTGCAAGTTTAGTTGCTGCTAATGCTTTGGGGCATTTTTATAATTGCTTTTGTAAGTGGAAGCCTTCTAAAAAAATTGGAGGGCTCAAATAACACCATCTTATTCACAGCAATGCCGTGCCTAGATCCTATTTCACTGCTGCCTTCTGTTTTGTGTTGTAAAACTCCCTGTAAAAATTTAATTCCCCTTCAACCTGTGACTTTATAGCAGAATGGTGAACCACTCTGTTAATTACTGAAACTGTGATCTCCAGCAGGAGAGCCAAGAAGAATGCAAGCTGAGAGGCAATATTTTAATTAATGAACAAAAGCTTATGGACTGGCCAAGGGAAAGGATAAGTTTTGAAAGACAAATGACAGCAATATGTTTTTAGTTGCAGTGGGTGACCTCTGGCAAACCTGTTACTCTGCTGTTTTAGCTGGTGTAGCCAGGCAATTCCTTAAGATGTAGATGTTGATGCTCTGTGTACACAACTTCTTTGGAGCTTAAGTCTTCAGAATTCATTTAAGTTTACTCCACGTTCAGAATATGATCCAAAACACTCCAAGGAAATATCTTCTAGAGGAATTTTTGTGATTTCTCCCAGTGTTTTCCCACTCTCCTCACCCCCACAGTGGGATGGACTGTGATGATCACAAGTGATTTGTAAATTTTAAAAATGAGTCACAGAAGCTGTGCTCCCTGCAGGGGGGCACATTTTCTCTGTTGGGAGCATCTGTGCTTTGGTCATAGGTGCTAAATTTCTTGTTTCTGCTACATTTGAGCCCCCAAATGGCAGTTTGTTCCATCCTCCATGCTTCTCTAGAGAGTTGGTGTCAGTGTTTGCCCTACAAGACCATCGTGTCTTCATCATGTGGAGCTCTGTGTTGCTCCATGGGTTCTAGTTTTTGTTTTCCTGTGCCCATTTACACAGTGTAGGGTGACCAGCTGTGCTGCCTTGCCCCTGGCCATCCACAGCAGCAGCCTCAGCATCCTCCTTGGCCTTGCTGCACCACTGATAATCCATAATGTACTAGAATATATGGATAGATGTGTATACAGGTAAATCCAGACACACTCATCGATCCATCCTAACATTTCTAAGGAATATTTATATTTACTAATCATTAGCTCTCAGGAGGACAGCAAAAGAAAAAGCACATTTTATTCACAGAGGTATAATTTGCCAGTGCTTGAACTCATTGAAGTGTGTTTCTCATACCACCTCCCTCTTCCTCCTTCTCCCACTTGTGTATAAATATGGAAACAAGATTTTTGAAGCAATATAAATTGTAGCTATAGGATTTGGGTATGTGTGTGACCTTTGAAGGCTTTCTAGAAATGCTTGTTACCGCTCTAAGCATATGCACTTTCCTGACAGATTGAGGCTTGCTTCTTGTGTATCAGTTAAATATAGCATAACTGGAAAATAACAGAAATTATGACTGAAATAGTTGTAACAGGCAACTGAAGTGAATTTTAATTGTATGTAATGTATAGTCATTGTGACCACCACTTTGACAAAATTTGACACTTCCCCTTTTCTTGGAAAATATTAGAAAATTCTTTCATGCAATGATTTAGGCAGTTATTTCCTTTCTCATCATAGAAGAATATGCAATTCTACTCTTATAAGGAACATTGTTACATATCAACTTGTGGCTTTTGTCAAAGTGTTTTTGGCTAGGAATCAAGTTAGTTTAGAAAGAACAAAGCATTCCTGTATTGTTCTTAATAATGACATAAAACTGCTCTTACTCCATTAGTTACAGAATTAAAAAATAAGCTTGTCTTCTCCTTAAGGCTTAGCCAATTTAGTGAAGAAAGGAAACATAATTGATGCCTGGGTAATTGAAACAATCAACAGTACAACCAAGCAGTTAAAATCAATGGTTTATAGAAAGATATGATAATAGCAGCATAACTGGGAGGAACATAATCTCTGGGAAAAGTCATTATTTGTGCACCACTGTTTTTATGTTGTACCAAGATTATAAACAGTAAAAATGTCACTCAGAGTTCCCATAAGCAAGATAAAGCTTTGATGGCAGTGGGTACGCAAGAACCAGGAAATGTTGATTAAATTCAGAGCTTCCTCAGTTCCTGGTAACTAACATGTTGTGGAGTTGATTTAGATTTCAGAGAACTGTTATTACAGCTGATTTTTTTTTCCCCTCCATTCACAGCAAGCTTTATTCTGGGTGGAATGTAAATACGTGAATGTTGAGAAATCACTAACACGTACGTAGTCATCTTTTGATAACAAGAGATCATCCTTAAAAAGCAGAATGAAGACAGAAATAACCTGTACAACCACCAAGCATTAGTCACACGTAGCTCTTATATAATGCTTACGTCTTCAATCAGCATGCTGGCAGCTGGGCTTCTTTGTAATATTTGTTTGGAGAAGAACATCTCATTTGGCAGGGGAAGAAAATGAAGCTAAGAGTTAAGGGACATGCTGGGGGGCACACAGTGCTTAGCTGGTGAGAGTATTACAACCAAGAAGTGTCCATCATCCTGCATCAAGCAGAGACAACAGCAGAGTGGATTCTATAGCTGTGTCTCCTCCTGTGCTTTCCACAATCAAGCCCTGGCCTACTGGGTATTTTTTGAGGAAGAGCAAGTAAATGCTTTGCTGCAGCACTGCTGCAGTTTTCCCTTTTGTTTGCTGTTCTAGGAAAGGAGGTGTATTTTTTCTTCACTCTATTATGCCTTGAAGGGAAGGACAAATAAAAATATGTATCGTGAAATACCGAAAATGGCTTTTTGCACTTGGAACCCAAGATGTAGTAGGCATGAGCCTAACACCAAGGGAGATGCTGATATATGCAGATTTTCCTTTGAGGATTTGGCCCCTGCACTGTGACTTTGGAATCACAGTAATTATGAAAATGGACCTGATTTTCTGGGGGATAAGCCATTGGTGTACAGAAATTTCCTTGTAATGATTCGTTAAACATTCTGGCTGTTTCCTTTTGTCCTGGTCCTGTTAGCTTGTATGCATTGAATGTTTGTTCCCAGCTGAAGAGCAAGGCTATTAAATGGAGGTGGAAACACTTTGCAATCTCATTCTGAAAGTACATTTCTTGAGGCTGAAAATAAATGCATTGTAAGCAGGTTTTAATCCTAGCAAGTAAAACAGCTCAGAATACTTTTGGGGGATGTTTTTATTCTGAGTTTATTGTTGATAGACAAGGAATTGTGTTATGGCTTGGTTTGTCCATAACCATATGTTATGTTTTCAGTTCTTCTGTTTTGCAATTATGCGTAACAAATGGTGCCATTTTCTTGGATGATGTTCTAAGATGAAATGTCAATGTCCCCAGAGAATACTCAGACCTTTGTGTGACTTCACATTATTTTTAGAATAAAGAAGTCAACCCAAAATTTTGAAAACATGACTCCAATTATCAAACAAAAATAAGATGGCCTTTCTTTAAGGCAAAAGATTAAATTGCATTGCTGTTAGATGACCTATAAAATTACAGTAAAAATTGTAGCAAAAGTAATTTTTTTAAAAAAGAATTTATTTAACTTGTTATAGACAGTCCAGGGAAAATGAAGAGGAGATAATTATTTATAAAAATGTAAGGTTGCATACAGAGTGCCATCTGGTAGTAATTTTAAAACTCAAGTAATTAGTTTATCTTACTTCATGCAGTGTAATTGTGCAACTTGTCGCCACAGGATTTACAGAGGCCAAAATTGCAATTGGGTTCAGAAAGGAATTGAGTGAGTTTATGGGAGATGTATTAATAAGAGAATACTAAACAATCTGGATACAATCCTGCCAGTCTTTGAGGATTTCTGAAAGATGTGAGGATTTAGAAGAAATATCTTTTTCTCTTCAATATTATTATGTTTTAATGACATTCTCCTGTCACAAAATGAATGTAGATTTTCTCACAAAGTTGACAATGTCGGAGTTGCAACAATGTGGAGATACTCCTTAATGGTAGCTAAAAGTTCTTTATAAAGCTTGAAGTTACCTATCCTTACTTTCTGAGGTCACATGCACTGACATGTAGAAAACTTGCTGCAAGAGGTCTGATGATGCAAAATGATAAATATTTCTGCTTTTTGTTTGTCTTAGGACGCCAAGGCTTGTTGGACCATTCACCACGCAACACAGGCTCAAAAGTAAAAGAGAGGAAACTGCATGGGACTTGTCCTCCTGTTGGTCGTGGAAACTATGAAAAACCATGTTTGGGTGAAAGCAGCCACAGGTCCTCATTTTTCAGCCCCCACAATGGTTTTCACACGATACATTCAGAGCACAGTCCTGTGAAGCCAAGGATAATTACAGTGGTGAAACCCGGGGGGCGCACGCTCCGGAGGATAACCTTGCTTCTCAACAGGAGATCAGTGCAGACCTTTGAGCAGCTGATGGCTGACATTTCAGAAGCTCTGGGATTTCCTCGCTGGAAGAATGACCGTGTGAGAAAGCTGTACAATCTGAGAGGCAGGGAAATTCGAAGCGTTTCTGAGTTCTTCCGGGAAGGTGATGCGTTCATTGCTATGGGGAAGGAGCCCCTCACTTTGAAGGACCTGGAGGTGGTATTACAAGAACTTTATCCTGAAAATCCTTATGCTGCCAGTGCTGCCATTCAGACGAATGAGGAGCAGTCCCAAAAACTGAAGAGCAGGCTGTATGACAAGGCCTCGAAAGTAGACAGTGGCTTTGATGAGACAGAAATGACCAAGAACTGCAGCGATGGCTTGTCTTCCCAGCTGGTAGCTGGACATGAAGGAAAAAGTCAAACCAAGACAAAGCAAGAGGAAAAAATGAGAACCAAAAAAAAGTGGACTAGAGAGAGCTGGGGTGGTGAGCATGGAGCGAAGCCTTCTAGGAAAACACGGGAAAGTGAAAGGTACCTTAAGCATGAGAGGAGTTCTGAGGAAGGCTTGGAAGACAGTTCTGAGGAGGTGCTGAGGTGTGAGAAGTGTGAACAGGAAAGGCAGGCCAGAGAAAAGTTACGGAGGGAAAGGCAGGCTGAGGCCTCGTTTGAGAATAGAGACTTGAACACAGGCGTGTGTCAGAGATACCACGTGGAAAGAAATACAAAAGTCAGGAACAGCCGAAAGTCTCCCGAAACCTGTCTGGAGGGTGAGGAAGTTGGCTGGAAAGATAATGGCAGTAGGAGGATGTGGAAGCCTCTACAAAGGATTGTCAATGAAGGGCTGGAGAAACAAAAAAGGAACATTGAGAAAGAAAGGGATGTTGAGAAGCATGACAACCATGGGAAGGAAGTAGTAAAAATCAGGAAGAATGCTGTAGAAGGGCTCCAGCTATCTCATGAGGTGAAGGAAGATAATGGTTGGCTAAAGAAAGACACTCTGAGGGATGCTGAGAAAATGTCTAAAACACATAGAGAGGGCAGAGAGGGACAAAGGGCTAAAGAGGAAGCTGCCAGAAGAGAGGGGAATGGCTCATGTAGAGAGAGTGATGTGACTCGACGAGAAAAGACAGGGGAGCGCAGAGTGAGTAAGGAAGACAACAAAACTCAGGGATTGGAAAGCACAAGCCGGAGGCACGCCATTAAAAGCAGAACAGATGTGGAAAAGCACTATGAGATTGGCAGAACTATTGGGGATGGGAACTTTGCAGTGGTGAAGGAATGCCGCCACTGTGATTCCAATCAGATCTATGCAATGAAAATTGTTGATAAATCCAAGCTGATGGGGAAGGAGGACATGATGGAAAGTGAAATCCTCATTATTCGGAGTCTCTCTCATCCCAATATAGTAAGCTTAATTGAGGTGTATGAGACAGAAGCTGAGATCTACTTAATCTTAGAGTATGTCCCAGGAGGGGACTTATTTGATGCAATCATAGAAAGTGTGAAGTTCACAGAGCATGATGCTGCTGTCATGATCACTGACCTGTGTGAAGCCCTGGTTTATATTCACAGCAAGAACATTGTCCACAGGGACCTCAAACCAGAGAATCTCTTGGTAAGTATTGTCAAACATTTGCATTTGTGCAGGACTTGAGTTTATTTTCCTTCCAATTATGGTTCTTTGAATTGTTTTAAGCAACTCCCATACAGAAATAATGTGTTGTGGCAGGGCTTTTTAAAAAAATGGATACAATTTTGGAGTGAAATTACAATTGCAGTTTGCTTTACATAGATCTGCTGTGCATTGCAAATAGAAGTGGTGGTAGAAAGGAATTAAAGTAAAAATCAACAGGTGTTCAGGGGTAGTGAGCATTTGTATTTTTTGGAAATCAAACCTGACTTTTAGGTGTCCAAGGATGAGTCATAAAGCATCTTCCTTGTAGACTAAAGGTTATTAAAATTGCTAAATTATCTTATTTATTGGTTTGACTTTTTGTCCACTGCATTTGTATATCTTGCAGACTAGTGTGCTAGTCCTCTAATATGATGATTTCTATCTTGTGACAATTTCTTTGCTTAGAAGCAGAAATGTTATGCAGTTGATTGAAATGATCTGACACTAAAATGTTTTGGTGAATACATCATTAAAGTAAGCTCAAACAGTAACTTCATGCCAAAGAGAAAAATTCTTGTTTCCATCACATTTCTGAGGCTGCATTCTTTGCACCCTGCACTAAAGTCAATAGAGTTATTGACATGTGTGAATATGCATAGAAATGTTTGTAGTATTGACACTTCACAATTGTAGAACTTTGCATTGTGGACTGTAACAGCAAACAACTCTCCCTTGCTAAGTGTGTGTTGCACTTTTGTATTAGGGTTCCAGATTTCCTGATAAACAGATAAATAGCAAGTATTTGCCAGCCTCTAAAAAATTGGATTTTATCAACTTTTTGGAAGTTCAAGGTTAGCCAAACAAAAAAAGTAATAGATTATTTAGTCCTATGGGCCATTCAGTGCTTTTAAGGGAATTAATTTTGCACAGAGATCAGTGCGAATTTCTGGAGAAAAGCAGCAGGCTCAAGGATAATGCAGAGGCTGCACAAGGCTAGGCTGGAACAGTTTGCTCCCAAACCTTTAAACGAAGCAATAGTATCTTTATTAGGTCCTGCTATGAATCCTGCTTAGTTTAATGAAAGTCTTTGGTGTGTGATCTCTGTGTAAATAAAAGAAGGAATGCAACTCTGAATGCAGTGAATGCAACTGGCTGCTTTGCAGAAAGAAGTAGGCTTGTAGGCCATGCCTTTGTGTTTTGTTTGCACAAAGTTTGAACAAAACTTCACATAGAACTGCATGGCTTTTTCCAGAAGCTGATTTTCCATTATGAACCGGGTCCTGCTCTTTCCTATTTGCTGAAAATAAGCTAATGCTCAGTGAAACACCTGAGATCTGATGCCTCATTTCCCTCTATAATACATAATCATCACAGTGATGTAGATAAGCAAAGAAGGGCAAGATAAAGGTCTGCTCTGGTTGTTTTCACATTTAGTTCACAAAACTGCAAAACAGAGAATGCTGGGCAGTGGCAGCATTGTGTAGCTCTGAAATAATCGTGTTGCCCCTTCTGAAAGTCAGAATACAATTTTCAAGGACAGAGCAGCTCCCAGACTGTAGGTATTTTGTCATACAAGAACAGTGTCACCTAAACACTGCAGGAAATAAAATTTTACCTGTTCTAGTTTCACATTGCTATTAATTTTCTGTGCACACCAGTATTAGATACCATGTACACAAAGTATACTTTTGAAAAGCAAATCTATTCAACCATATAAATAAGTTTATAAGGTCTTGATAGTATTGGATAGGTCACCTGCTATTTAATAAGAATTCCTGTAAAGACAGTCCATTTGAGCAGGATTCTGGGGTTTCTGTCTTTTTACTGTGCTGCCTCTCTCTCCTCAGAGTGGCTGGGGCAGCAAAGTAGGAAGGAGAGCTGCCACTAGTCTTACCATCAGCCAGTGCTGAACAGTAACAAACAGCATTGAAGCAAATGTAATGGGTTCATTGGCTGTTGGTGGATCAGGAGCATCAGGAGATGAAGCAAAGTGCTTGAAGTTCCAGCATCCTGCAGAGATGTCCCTGTTTGTGGGATACCTCTTTTTACACTGAGGATGTTTAAATTTGAATTAGTCTCCCTAGACTTTGTGCACAAAGGTCAAAATGTAAGTGTGTACTTTTAGGCTGTTGACTTGTTTGTCCTGCTTTGGCTCTTCTTTTGGTCAGGTGATCTTGTAGTCTTCATCTAGTGTTTTTCCCCTTCAAGAAAATGGGAAGTGGAAGAGTAAGGATCCTTGGTCTATTTTACTAAGGAAATGTGTATATCTATTCTGAACCTGCTTTGTGTGAGAATCTAACCCTCTTCCTAATGACTTTTAAACATACTGGTTAATTGTCATAAGAGATGAGAAAAAAGCAGCAATCTGTGAAAAAATATTTCCTTAAGTTTCATGAAAATAAGCAACTAGGGAAAGAAGGAAAACCATTTCTGTCCTTACAGAAGAAAAGATAGAAATATACTTTGAGTCTAGTAAACTGTAAAATTATTGGCACAAGAGAAAGTTGGAAACCTGGTGTAGCTATTACTTCATTGCACTTCAGCTTCTCTTATGGAACTTTCCTTTAGTTATAAACTTCTGTGCCAGGCCACCATCATCGTTTCTGCTTTTCCCCCTCCCTCTTTCACTGCCGTGTCTGCCCACATTGATCAGGCTCCTCGCAGCGTAGCTGTGAGGCAGAAGGGTGGTGACTTGCGCTACAAAAACAAAATCTGTTTGACAGCTGGTGTGAAGACAGCTGCTACGGCTCCCTCCCATCTGCTAGCCGAATCACCTCATCTAGGACTAGGTGTTCAGCAAGGAAACCTTTGCTGCCAAGGATGGGCAATGTGGTGTGTTTGGTCGAAGCCAGTCACTTCTTTCATGCTACCTCATGGAGCAAGATTTTCTGGCAAGGTTTTTTGGTAAGGGACTGTTTAATTCTACAGCTGCTGGCATTTTTTCACTTGTGAGTGAGAAATTAATGCCCAAAATGTGGTGTTGTTTTTCCATGTTGTAGCTGTAAAAGACATAAAGTCACCCCTTTTTAGGGGGAAGGGACAGGGCTGTATTTGTCATTTTGTACTCATCTCATTGTACGTTTCCCTCACATGCTAATGTACTAATTCTTCAACACTCAACTTTATAACTGTTATAGCTTTTTATGCATTTGAGATTGCCCCCCTGCACCTGCAAGTTTTCATGTATTTGTGAGAACTTCAAGTATAGACTTTCTGCCCTTGAACTTTGTGACACTATTTACATACAAAGCACTGTCCATTTTCCAAGACTATTTACATATATACAAAGGACTGTCTATTTTCTAACACTATTTACATATATACAAAGGACTGTCTATTTTGTAACACTATTTACATACATTCAGAGCACTGCCAGTTTCCTGAGGGCATGTGAGTCAAACTCCTGTTTAACAACTTACCTGTCATAACTTCCAGAATTTTCTGTAAGATTCTTCATAGAGTTTCTTCTAGCGAGCAGCAAGGGATGTCTGAAACTCAAATGTGTAAGCAGTAATTTTCTTAAGCTCTATCTGTTTCCCATGTACAAAATGTCACATGGACTAACTGGCTTTCATGATGTCCATAGGAAGAATCAGTGCTACCATATACATGTGTATACAGAGAACTATTAATGTCTTGAATCATTATCTAAAACACACTGATGAATTTCACAAGGTAAATATGAAATCAAACAAGAAGGAGAAAGATTTTTTTTTCTCTTTGAAGATGAATTTGCCCTTATATTACAATCATCTTGTTTTATGGCTGGCATAACTAGAAATCCTTAGGCAATATTCTAATATTCTGACGTGTCATCTGTATTTGAGTAAGTAGTGTTCAATTGACTTGACTGCCTTTTGTCCAAGGCCACCAGATGCTGTATTTGTATGGCCTAAGTTGGCTGTCTATAGAAAGTGTGTGAAGTGTACTGGTCCTTCTTACCTCAATTAAGTCTATAGGCAGGCAGCGCTATTTTTGCTTTGTTCTCACCATTGCATGGAATACATACCATGGATGTCAGAGGCTTGATTTCTTTTGAGCATGTTGTGCATTTCTGTAATACTGCTATGAGGAAGTAGTCTGGCCTTGGGAATGATTAAAAAGAAGCTGAGAAGCTTTTGTTTCTACAGTGAAGCATATTTGCATGCTCAAGGTGATGCCAGCTGATGGAAAGGTAGACCGGACAGTAGGAAGCTTGGGATGAAGGCAATTCTCTGAGCTGACTGAGTTGTTCTGAGCACAGTGTTAGTGAAGCTGCTGAGATGTTCTGGGGTGAGGTTTTCAGGCCTGCTGACAGGCTACATGCTGTCTCTGAAGTGATTGTCACAAAGCTGTGGAAATACCCCCACTGTGCCTGCTGTTCTACCTGCTCCCTTGTGAAGTAAATTGGGAGCACAGAGGTTTTGTCCTGAAAGAACAGATGGTGCTGTGTTGCCACCTTGTGCTGTGATGGGAGATTAGGAGTCTGGCATTCTGAGAAAAGAAAAAGTGCAACGGTGCATTTTACAGAGCAAGAAATCTCCTGAAGATTTTGGGATTAAGACCATTGTGTTCTCCACCCTTCCCACGACCTTGGTGTTTTCTAACATTGTATATAAATGTTTCAGTATTGTTTGTCATAGTACAGTAGCATGCAGGGAGTTGAAATTCCATGTGACATGCTTTTCTTATATAATAAAATATACATATATAGAATAGGAAAATACATTCATGCTCATATTTTTGTACTGTGTATAAAATTTAGCATTTCAATTGGGAATTTTTGTAACATCTTACTACTATTACCCTATTGATAGAATATAAATTCTATAGATAGATGTTGTTCTACAAAGCAAGTGTTACTTTTATAATTTTTTGGTAATTTTTGTCAGTTTGTGTCCACAGTGCATGATAGCAGAAGATTGTCACATAGTTTGGTAATATAATAGAGAAAATGGCTGTGGCATTTTAGCTTCTTCTTGCAGAAGCTTTGACTGCATGGTTGTAGTAAGCTTTATTTTCAGTTTCGTACTGAAAAATATTTTTTCATGGAAGAGCAGCAAAAAACCCCTGCCAAAATATTTTGCTTAATCAAAACCAGGAGAGTACACAAGGGCACTGCTAGTTCATGGAAAATTTCTTGTCCCCCAGGACGCCCATCTCCTTCTCTGCAGAGCTGCTTTCCAGCTGGTCAGCTCCCAGCCTGTTCTGATGCATGGGTTGCTCCTGCCCAGGTTTTTGAGCCTGCATTTGTCTTTGTTAAATTTCAAAAGGTTTTGCCCTGCCTGTGTCTCAGGTATTTTGAGATCCTTCTAAATGGCCACATGGCATTCTGGGGCATCACTCACTCCTCCCAGTTTTGTGCATTTTTTAAAAAAAAGGTTACAATGGATTAGTAGGCTTCACTGTATTGTTTTGTAATGCAAAACTTTTTTATATCTTAAAAAGAAGAAAAGAAAAAAACCCACCAAGAAGTCTGAACCCATCTTGCTCAATCAAAATTGGATGCGTGCTTACAGTTTCCATAAAGATGATTAATGGGGATTAGTCAACTGTAATGTATAAGAGCAAATGCTGTAACATCTGTGCCTTTAGTTATGTGGTAATAGAGACCATCCTGAATTGAGAAAGCCCATCATGGCTTTCTTAAGCCATGATGGCAAAGTATGAGGTGTTAAAGCACAGAGTATACCTGTCACATTACAGTCCATTTTGTCCATTCAAAACCAAGTCCTGGTTTACTTGGCTTTTTTGTAGACATTTTAGCTGTTGATCATTCCCCATAGTTCCAGGGACAAACAATTTTTCATTGAAAGGAAAATAATGACTTTTTGTACCTCTCAAAGAATATTTGAGTGTCAGTCACTAATATGAAGCATACTGATTTATATAGTTATACTGCTGCATTGTTTATGACTTTGCCTTTGAATATGGAATCTTAGTTTGAGTTGGAGGAGACCTTTAAAGTCATCTGGCCCATGCCCTTGTAATGAGCAGGGACATCTCAACTAGACCAGGTTGCTCTGAGCCCTGTCCAGCCTGACTTGAGATGCTCCCAGGGATAGAGTATCTACCACCTCCGTGGGAAATCTGTTCTGGTGTTTTGCTACCCTCATCATAAAACACTTCTTTTTGGTATCTAGTCTGAATCTACTTTCCTTCAATTTAAAGTTACTGCCCCTTGTCTTATTGCTGCAGGCCCTGCTAAAAAGCCTGTCCCCATCTTACTTTAATTATTGAAAGGCCACAATAAGTTCTGTCTGGAGCCTTCTTTTCTTCAGGCTGAACAACCACAACTCTTGCAGCCTTTCCTCACAGGAGGGGTGCTCCATCCCTCCTTCCCGGCCCTCCTCTGGACTTTCTCCAACAGGTCCATGTCCTTCCTGTGCTGGGACCCCAGAGCTGGATGTGGCTCTCCCAGTGGGATCTCAGCAGAGCAGAGGGGCAGAATCCCATCCCTTGCCCTGCTGGCCACGCTGCTCTGGATGTAGCCCAGGATATGGTTGGTGTTCGGGACTGCAACTGCACATTGCCAGCTCATTCCAGTTTTTCATCCACCAGCTACTACAAATTGCTCTTCTCAGGGCTGCTGTCAATCTATAACACAGTCTGTATTGATACCAGGGATTGCCCCAGCTCAGTTGTAGGATCTTGCACTTGTCCTTGTTGAACCTCACAAGGCTCAACCTTCTTGAGCTTGTTTAGGTGCCTCTGGATGACATCCCATCCTCCAGACCTGTCAAACTCATCACTCAGCCTGGTGTTGCTTGCCAGCTTGCTGAGGGTGGGCTCAATCCCACTGTCTTTGTCATTAACATTTCATTTCTTAAAATAACCCTTCATTAACTGCATTATAAAGTAATGCTAAAGACCAGTGCATACAAAATTAGAACTGGAGAAGGTGTTTTGACTACTTGCCAGGTGGATGTAGGAGATGAGAACTGCTGAAAAGGCTCAATTAGAAGGTCATTCTGCATGAACCTATTTCTGTAAGAGTTGCTGTGTGGTGACCATTAATAACCTAGTTTCAGGGCAGCAGGTAGAGTAGCAGAGTAATTTGTAAAGAACATGAAGCTTTTGTTGGCTTGTATTTTGTTGTTAGACCAGCATAATGGAGATACACTTTCTATGTGTCTTGGTTTTAGCTAGTACAGTGGATTTAGTATGAGGATAGCATTGATACCACACTGATGTTTTGGTTGTTGCTGAGCACTGCTTATCCTAGGTCAAGGAATTCTCAGTGTCCCATGCTCTGCCAGGTAGCAGGTGTACCAAAAGTTGGGAGGGAGCATGGCCAGGGCAGCTGACCCAAAAGCATATTGCATGCCATAGGACATTGTGCTCAGTAAATAAACTGAGGAAAGTTGGCCAGGAGTTGCTTGGCTGTGCTGGGGGACAGGCTGAGCTGGGGGTCAGTGGGCTGTGAGCAATTGTATTGTGCAGCACTTGTTTTTGTTGGGTTTTACTCCTTTCTCTTTCTCTTGCTCTTACTCTCTCTCCCTGTCCCCCTTCTCATTATAGTTGTTACCATTCCTACTGTTATTATTATTAGACTTTAATAATTTCAGTTATTGAAGTGTTCTTATCTCAACCCACTGTTTTTTGCATTCTGCTTCCCATCCGACTGTGGGCAGCTGAGTGACTGAGCAGTTGTGGGGTACTTAGTTGCTATCTGGGGCTAAAAAAATGAAATCAGTAGTTTACATGGGCTCATTGCATTTAAGTCCACAGCATTCTTCTTTGCTTTCCCAGGAAAAAAGAATAGTTTATTTTCTCAAGAGGAAATTATTGTATTTAATTGACTCGGTTATTTTTTGTGTTCCTTCTATTAATTTCTTGGAAATTGCAGTGTGCCAGACTTCGTAGAGCAAAGTTATCTTTTTGCCATAATTGCTTATCCTCTTAAATAAATCCTTATCCTCTTAAATAAATTCCCCCTCTTAGTATATGGGGGAAAAGAGCCATGTTCTGAAGACTGTTTGCATTATTAGTACTATTATTAGAACTCCCTCCTGTTTATTTTCTGCTTCCTTTATATTTTACTGTTTTAAAATGCATCTGGACTAAATGTGTATATCTATTTTGTTTGGATATAGGTTCAGCACAATGCAGATAAATCTACTACACTGAAACTGGCAGATTTCGGCCTTGCTAAGCAGGTTACAAAACCCATATTTACTGTCTGTGGAACACCAACGTATGTTGCTCCTGAAATACTTGCTGAGAAGGGTGAGTGTATATATTTTTAATTTGTCATAAATCTTTCAATTATGCTGAACTTTCTAATAATGGAAGTAGTCCAGAATGTTTCAACCTACTGAAATATCTTTTCAGGGTAGGAGGTTGGCTAGCAGTGTAATTTGGGAAAGGAAACTTCTTAGTTTTTAACAAACATGAGCATGACATCAGTTACATTTGCATTATTAGTGTCTGTGCTAATATATCACTGACTTCCAAGCAGATAAGCCATGAAATATCATAGATAATAATAGCTGAAGGGGGGCAAATGACCAAAAGTTCATGTTATAACCTAAGAGTAGCCAGTCCCATTTCATTACTGTAATCCAAACAACTTTCCAAATCCTCTGATGATGCAAAGTCATTGTGAACATGTATGTTAAAATTATTTAACATTTCAAAACATGTTTTGCATCACAAGGAATTTTAAAGATTTCATCTCCAAAAAGAATCAAACCTGAAAAGAAGTCAGTTTTATTGGTGACTCAAACAAATCTATTTCTGGCTTTTGTTCTGTGGAGCTGGGTCGCACATCTCCAGTTATATCCAATTTCAATAGAAACTTGGCACTCTTAGTTCTTTTTTGAAGGGAATCTGAGGATGACTATTTTAGAAATACGTGCCCTGTTTTCTCAATTAGTCCCCAGTTGACACTGGCCTTGTGAGACAGTGTTTGTGAAACATGTTGTGGAAAAGAGAGACTCTGTGAGAGCTGTAGCTAATAATGGGCAGCTTGTAAGCATGGTGTACCAGCCACTCTTTCATTTGATCACCTCCTCTTTTGAGGAACAGAAGAGCAGAGATTCTGTTTCCTTTTCATTCTGTTTCCAAGAAACAGTTCCCTTGCAGTTGTGAGATTTCTTTCTAAAACAAGACATGGTTTCTCCCTTCTTCCTTAGGCTATGGCCTCGAAGTAGACATGTGGGCAGCTGGTGTGATCCTTTACATCCTGCTCTGCGGTTTCCCCCCCTTCCGCAGTCAGGACCGTGATCAAGAGGAGCTGTTTCAGATCATACAGCTGGGTCACTACGAGTTCCTGTCCCCTTACTGGGACAATATTTCTGCAGGTAAGATTCTGCACTCACAGTAGGTCTGAGAAGTGGTATTCTTCTTCCCTTTTTTCGGGGCAGTGAGCTTGATCAACTTGGGGTGTTTTATGGATCTCTCTTGTGTGAATCTGTGCTTTAAATGTGAATTTAGTGCTCTGGTACTATCAATGGCTGTGTTTCTGCATATTATTTCAGCATGCTGTAATGGAGTCCTCAGTTCTTCCCTCTGTAAGCAAAAGCAAGGATTTTCTCATCTTGTTTATGTGTCTCTGCAGAAAAACGTGTCAAAATACTCTCAAGGGCTATGTTAGATTTTAAAGATGTTATAAAAAAATCTCAAATTTTGAGAATTAAATCCTTGTCCTGGAGAACACAGTGTCAATTTCCTATTGACAGTGGGGTCTGCACATAGTAGTTTTTTCTTTCTCACAGGCTAGTACAGTGTCTTTTGTGCACTCTTCAAAATCAGAAACACTAGAACTCCTTTAATCCCTGTACCGTCCTTTAAAGGACTTGTTCCACAGCATTTTACAACATTTATGCCTCATAATAGATGAGATAGCTAGTGCTCATTCCTGTGAATGTAAACACTCAGCCAGATGCCTCCAGCACACTTTTGAGATTAAAGTCCCTTCACTTTCTCCTCTGTTTCTGAAGAGAAGAACGACATCAGTCATGGAGATTTAATATTTTCTGTCACTAACTCTAACTGCAGCTGTTAGAATAGCTCCTGGGGATAGTTACAAAAACCATGGTAAAACTAATGAAAAAAGCAAGAAGGACATTTTGTGTGGGTATAACTGTCACCATCACAGAATGGTAAGTTTGGAAGTGACCACAGTGGGTGATGTGTTTCAAACACCCTGCTCAAGCAGATTGCACATGTTTGCACATCCTGGAGCATGTTGCACACCACCATGCTTCACCCCTCTCTCCTTTGCTTTCTTCCATAATAGCAGCAAAAGACCTCATCACCAGGCTGTTGATAGTGGATCCCCAGAAGCGCTACACAGCACGTCAGGTACTTCAGCACCCCTGGATCAGGACAGCCGGGAAAACCAACAGCAGGAATCTGCAGAGGGAAGTGACAATCAACATCGAGCGCCATTTCCGGGCCCAGCGCCGAAAGGAAGTTGTTGATGAGGGCACATGAAATCTTTCAAGCTCATTTTGTCTTCTTTTTATTGATTAACCAGTCATTTATGTTTTCTTTTCTAAATGAATTGGGAATTTAATGTGTAGCTGTTGGTGGCTATTGCCATGCCTTTTTTTTTTTGATTCTGAGATTCTGGAGGACAGAGATCACATTCACATCCACCTCCTCTGATGTTACTTGCTTTCTCTCTGTTGAAAGCAGCGGGGACTAGATGAATTCTGGAGGGTGTCTGTTCTTTTCTTTAAGTACTGATTAGGGCTTTTACATCTTTTACAAACGTTTGCTTCTGTGACTCACACTAGTGGTGAATCTTCTCTCATCCTTTTTGTATGATATCCTCCAGGAGTTTTGTGTTTGTAATGTTTTCAAAATAGCTGTCTGCATACATGTCTTGCACTAATTCTTTAAAGAGTCTTTTCACTAATTCCTTCTAGCCACAGAGAAGGAAGAATAAAAAGTAAATAAATTGTTGAGCTGTAGGAAATGTTAAATGAACAGCCAGATACTGTATTTATTAGGTTGTGAGGGAATACAAACCCTCATTGACTAAATCTTACGTTTTGTGATATCTCCTTTGGTGACATCTTTCACACTGGTTGTTCAGGGTAATAGATGGTACAATGTTCCTTTTACAAGAAGGTGGTGCTGTCTACTATGTAGGTTTCATTTGTTTTTAGAAAATGGAAGATATGGCTGATACCTTTTCAAGATTCAAATAATAACAAGTTTCAAAGAGGTTTTCTTCCTTCTCTGGGCAGTAGAAAGTTAAGCAGTTTTAAGGGCACTTTGCTTCTTTTTTCAAAATCACAGTTATGGAATGGTAACTCAGTCAATTTTCCATATTGAGTTTTTTCCCTCTTGGAGGCATCCATGTGCATCTGTGACTTTTCCATGCTGGTGGAGAAGAAAAAACTTGGAAGTTGGGACTCAAGTTAACCCTTGCCTTCATAGTTTCCCTTTCATCATCACACTTTTTCAGTGTAGTTTAGCAATTGTTTTGTTTGTTTGGTTGGGTTTTCCCATCTCTTGCCCTTCCTGTGACCTTTTCTCCTTGCTTCCATGAGAATAGGCAATGGGATGAAATTAAATGAAAATCCAGCTTGAGGAAAAACAACTTCTTGGCTGTGGAGAGGTCTCCCAGGGGAAGCGTCAGATGCTCTATTGCATGTGGTTTTTAATATTTTTATTGGATGCGGTTTTAAAGAAATTCTGTAGGGGAAAATTACAGCCCAGAGAGGGGCCATGACCTAAACCAGCTTTTGAATCTCAGAACTTTTGATTAATTAATTAAATTAAAAAAGCACTTGAGTTTTCCATTTTATAATTCTTTGTCCTCAAGTTCTATGTGTTAGCAAATAATATTGATGTTAGAATGTCAGTGGTGTTGGCACTGAATACACAGCCTGTAGAAATGAAGGAAGGTATTTTACACTTGGAGAGCTGCTGCTCTGCCTATGTATTTCATAGTGAGAAATGTCAGAAGCATTTCAGAATCAGTGGAACATTTTCACAACTATATAAAACCAGAATATTATTTTTTGGTGAGTGCTAATATTTTGTGTGAACTTGCTGAATAACCAAAAAGTGTAGGGTGCTGTCATCACGTTTCTGTTTCATCTTGTGACTGTTTTTCTGCAAGAATTATGTATAAAAGTAGAGATTACTTGACTCTTAAAGGAGAATTGCACTTTAAATTGAATTAGCTTATTTCTAATACTTACTGGAATAAGACTTGCTGTGGAGTTCAAGAATTGGTGAAACAAACCAATCAAATATTTTCTGTATGCCCAAGTAGTAGCTCTGTGATATGTCATACTTCTGCTTTGGAGTCTCTGAGTCAGGAAGACTTCTCCTTTTCCTGAAAACAAGAATGGATTTAAGTGCTTCCCTGAGTGAAGGGAACCTAATGTAACCTAATATTATAAAAGCATTACATTGTAATTGAGTACTAGTAATAATGTATCCTCTGTCAATTTAAGTCTATTTTGGATAGGAAACTGTGGAAAAATCGTTTCTGATGTGCAATATTATATTTTGTAATTATCTTATTTTTAATATAGTTGTTTAGGAATAAAGTCTGAAGTGACAAAAAGTATTTAATCAACAATGAATCAGAAAGTTTGGAGATTGTGTTACAAGTTGCCTTTTTCACCTTTAAGAACCTGTCTGCAGCCTTATTCATAGTGCAGAAGATGGAGAATTTGCTTGTAATGATTATAAAAGTAATTATTTTTCAATGATTTTTTCTTTCACGTTCTCTGTGTTCCAGACAGGCTAAACATGGTCTGTGCCCGGTGGTCACTGCAGGGCACCTGTAGGTACAGATGCTGCTGTGGCAGTGCTGAGGCACAGGTTTGTCACTGTTGCTAATAGATGTGTGGCACTAGGCCCTCCTCCTTCAGGCTGGAGGCTGAAAAAGCTTCCAGGTGCTTCTCAGGGTTTTTACTTCTTTCTTTCTCTCCTACTTCATTATTCCTTCTTTTCTCTTGTTGCTTCCACTGTTCTTGCTCTGCCTCTGTGCTGTCCAAGGGAGTCCAGGTCCCCAAACCTTGTGTTTTAAAGTTTAATTTACTTGTAGCAATGAATACCCATATGATTTTGGAGAGCTCAGCCTCAAGCTTTGCTTGCTGGTGTTGAAAGTAATATTAGGCAGGACTAAGACAAAAAAATGGTGAAAATCCCCTCTCATCTCCTACTGCCTTTTCTCAGGCTTTTCTTTTCCCTCTGTGTGACATTCCAATGCAGACCTGATCTTTATGCTCTGTAAGAGGATTTCTAATACATGAACCATGTTCACACTCTGTGATTGAGGATTATCACTGTTCTTCCCTTTCTGAGGTTTTTCTAATGTATATTGTCTCCTTAGGTTCTGGAGTCATCTTCCCCTTAATACTTTCATTTCTTGATTGGTTCCTTTCTCTACAGTATGTCTGAGGAAGCTCAAAGCTGGGGGAGATTATAGACTCAGAGCAAATTCTCGCTGATTTGTTAGGAAGAAGAAATATCCCTTCTTGCCCTTCCGTAAGTCCTTTTGGATTAGATTCTCATATGGCTCTATATTCCACTGAAAATAAAACAAGTTATGGTGTCCTCATCTCTTTAAATACTAACAACGAAGAGAGTCTGAATATATCACCAGGAAAACCAACCCGACCCCCAAGAGCTAAGTACAAAATATTAATTAATATTGCAGACCTCAATAGGAAAGTTCTACTTCCAGAGGATTTGCTGGGTCTAAGGCAATAGAAGGCAAGAACCTGTTTGTTTGCTGCAAGCTTTAGCAAATCAGCTGAGTAAGAATCCTTTCACCCCTCTTAAAAGATATTGTTTGGTTCCTAACTCATAATGGAGATCCTGATCAAGTTCTAGTTATCCCAGGGTTATTTCTTTATCTGGTATTGACTATACAAAAAACATTCTCCTTTTAGAAACCAGAGGCTCTCCATCACCCTTTATCATTGACTTGGCCCTTCTTTAGTTGGTTGCAGCTTTTAAGCATGATTGCATATTTTCATGTCCTCAGACTTGAAGCAAGCACAAAGATCCAGTCATATAGAATTGAGTCATCAATGTTTCATTTTGTAGTAAAACACATGCCTAATAGACAGAGTTGCTTTTTTAGCTTTTCAACTGCCTGAAGATAAAGTGGTCCCTGGATATCCCCTCCGTTTGCCACCAAGGTCAGCTTCTTCACTTTCCCACGTGGTATCACATTTCATTGGCCCTAGACCTCACCCACATACTTTCTATCACCTGTCATCTGCCTCCTGTCATTGGCCTCTTATCCCCTTGGATCACTCCCATTATTGAAACCTGGTGAAATCTTCACATGTTAATATGCTTTTCTTCAGGAAATTCTGGCCTTAGAAATGGGAATGAGCAAAAAATTTTGGAAATGTTTAGGCATGTGAAACTGCAAAAGACTGGTACTTCACACTGCATGGTGCATAACTGCCTGAAAATGTGCAATGGGAATTTGGTCATTGCTCATATATTTAGTCTCCTAATATTTAAAAATGTGTGCCCAGGAGACCTGTGTTTGAAGCTTGGCAGTACAGGAGAGACTGTTTCCTCTGAGACACAGACTTTTATTCAGGGACCTTCTTAATCTAAGATTGTTTAGCAGCTGTGTGCAATAGCTGAACTCAAACACCATCAAATCAGCCACCTTGCTTCTGGCTGGAATTAGAGGTGGATTTCCTACATCTCTGTTACTGCAATTTTTGGCTGTAAGGTGATGGAGGGATAGTGGGATGTTATCTCCTGAGCTTAGGCCTCTTGGGGTTTGGTCCTCTCGTTAAAGTGAACTTTCAGGAGTCAACTTCTTGCTTTTTGGCAAGTACCCAGATTTGGGGAGGTATTCAGTCTGCTTGAAATGATTGTAAATTTGCTGTGATTATAAAGTGATTTTCCCAAAGACACCTAAGTAACACTCTTAAATATTTTTCCTATAATTTCTTCTGTCGCCTGGATTTCTTTTAATTTAAGCAACTTAAGGAAAATGCTTTTTATGTTTCTGGGCATGCATTTTTCTGTCTTTTTTAAGTCCACGACTAATACTTCACTGTTGACATTCTTGTTCCTGAAAGGAATTATGGGCACTTTAACTGGGCTGACAGTGTATAATGGCACTGTTTGTTCTACAGTATGGTTTATTTGTAACTTGGCTGAAGGTGTAATTTTCTAAATTAAAATACATTGTAAACTTCAGCAGAAAAGTTGTTATTACTCCCCCTGACCTCCAATAAAGGTAAATTATACAGTAAATGTTATGTTTCAGTTCTTTCCAATAAATTGGGAAACAAATGTGTGGCCAAGTATTTTGAGTTGTTTTGTTTTGGGTGTTTTTTTTTTTTTAACCTTCTGGCAATGTATCTAGTTGGAAATGCTTGTTTTAAAAGGTTTGCAATTTTGGTAAGTATTGTGTATACCTTCATTTATGAGTACCACAACCTCTTCTAATGCTGCAGCCCTTTGAATACTTACAGCTGTGTTTTTCTTTGCTGCTGCATGTAATCCCACTAAAACCAGCACAAATTTTTGCAGAACTGGAGCTGAGACATTGGGACATTTTTTGTCCCATATTGTCTTATTCTTACAAGCTGGGTTGTTAGAGCCATCACAACAAGCAGACTCAGCTTCACTTATGCTTAATGCGTACAGGACTGATTTCTCCCATCATTAAATCATTTTCTGTAAAATTCAAGTTTGTTTAGAAAAAGGTTTGCTTTCTTTGTGGAAACAGACATTCTATTTGAAATGGAGTTGCTTGCAAAAAGCAGCTTTTTCAAAGGAGACTGTTTCTTAGCGGCTTGTGTACATTTCAGTTCTGTTATTAAAAATGGCATTTTCCTGCACGCCTGCAGTATGTCCTGAAGCAGTGGAAATAAAACTGTGTCTAGGATATTGATGGTGTTTTTGAAGAAGCTACCTTCTCTGCATGTGAGCATGTGTGACAAAGTGGATGCCAGGGAGAAAATTTTATTGCATATTGGTCCTTAAAGACATCACAGCCTCCTCGTTACTCTAAGAATAACAGTAAACTCTTTGGAATGACTGACTTTTATGATAATCACACAAATTTATTGCACTTCATTTTAACAATTTGTATAGGCAGCTAATTAAATCTGATTTAATGCTTTGCTGTTAGCAGTGGGATTCAGATGTGTTTTCTGTGTCAGAAGCAGTTGAAGGCAGAGTCCAGCAGTGCAACAAATTTGTGGAATTATCATAAAAATCAGATGTTGTATTCTTGTAGATTTTTTTCTTTTTAAATTAGAACTGTTTTGACAAAGTAGCAATTGGAAAATCAGAAAAAGTAAAGCTAATAACCTTAAACTGTCATTGGAAATATATTTTGTTTTCCAAATTCAGAAACTGATATGAAGAGCTGGAAGCATTTTAAAAACCAGAGAAATACAGGAATTATTCCCAGAGTGTTTCAGCAATTAAAGCAATAAGAAATAAAAAAAATAAAGCAATAAGAATATTTGGTGCAGTGAGAACATGAAGTACCTTGGTAGGGCTGAGCAAGTGCTGCAACTGGAGCTGTGTGAGATTGCTAGATTGGATAAGGAGTCTGAAAAAGGGGTGCTCCTTATAACTACTGGAAAAATGTATTGAATCATATGAAAGATTAATCCTGAATTGTCATTGCTGTCTTTATAAAGCTTTCAAAATTTCAGTGACAACCATTCTACTGTAAGAAGGCATTTCCCATGAAGAATTGCAGCATAAAACATTTTATATAGTGTTTAACATAAAGGATTTCAGCAACGAAGATAATTTGCCTAGAAAATGGAAGTGTATGATTGTTAACTGCTATGGTAAATTGTCAAGAAAACCTTATTGCTGGATTTTCAAGAAGAGTTCAGTTTTGTGAACCTAAGCATTTGCAACTACCCAGCTTGCAATGTGGAGTTTCAATGACATGGCACCGCTACAGCATAAAAATGTATTATTTAACAGCTCAGAAGAAACTTTTGTTCAGCCTAGTGTAAGGCTGAAACTAAATGGGTCAAATACATCTTAATAATTTCAGCTTGCCTGGAAACATATTGGCCAAAATATTGCTCACATGGTGAGTGATGGATGAAAAATGTATTATTGACCAGTGTTTCCACTGGAAGCATAAAATTGTTCATGAAAATGGGAGCATGTTGGCTGTTTGGCTTAAAGCCAGCATGTGTCCTGTTAAGGTATTATTTCTTCAAATAAAGAAAGAGGGAGAGACACCATATTAAATAGCCCCTTGTGATTTGAAACAAACAAAATTCTGAAAGAAAGAAGTGGAAAATAAAACAGGAGGAAAAGCTGAAGGAAAACATAACCTTTTTGTAAAATGTTTTATTTTCTGAAGTAAATCAATGCTCTAGACAAATCTACCAGAGCTTCATGAGTGAAATAAAAAATGTCTGCCTTTGCTGGTGTGTGACATTCCTGTGGTTGTTCCCCAGTTACTTCTGTGTGTCTGGGAATAGCTGATTCCATGCAGATACTATGGCAACCACTGGATTACCTCACCTGGATCATAATTTTCTAATGACAGGATAGGAGAAGAATCCCTTAAAAGAAATAAGAGCAAAACTGCTCCACCATGTAAGTCACTTTGAGCAATTATTCATCCACAGGAGAATTTTATGGAAGTTTATTTTTACATGCTTTCATAACTCACACAGTTAATGTTGAAGGGACGGAAGTTAGAGAAGAATGTTAGTGACAGTAATAAACTCCTCCTA